TAAGAGCAAATCTTACAGTATATGGAGAGCCGCGAAGCAAGTGTCGCACTCGTTTGGCTTTAGCAGCGTCGACAATGAAACCAATGTTACAATGTTGTAGCAACCCGTACCTGGGAGAGTGGTTTAAAGCACGTTGTTTTAGGTTGTTTTGGCTTAATAAAATATTTGGTAGCAATTTTGCAATGTCACACCGAAGACTTTTTTTACCATCTTTCATCACAGCTATTGCTATCGTTAGAGAAAAAAAAAATTTCCTATTTCAAGCCCAGCAGGAACTTGCTGAATGATAACTTTTACCACGATTAATGAGCGTACAGTCTGATAAGAAAGCAATGTTGACTTGACCTCTATGATGAAACACTAGTAGTGATGTCATTCTTAGCCAATCAGAAGCAGATGCTTAGAACAGGTCAAAGATGATTGACAGACTGTAAACAAAAGTATCGTGTGCCATTGCAGCAGAGTCGTTTTCCGTGAAGCCCATTTTTCTTGTCTCTTTAGATATGAATTAAAAGTGCAACGACAACGAAATTGGTGGATTAAAAGTGCTAAGTCAAAAATTGTGTGCGACGACATCAACAAACTTTAGGACGAAGTTGTAGGGATCTTGTTTGACGGCGACAGTGACTCGGACTTGGACTTTGAGGGGTTTGACTTTGACGAAGATGGCCATGAACGTACTACAAAATAGAGATCTAAGAATTTTTTTCCAACAACAATGAACTTTCATAATTTTCACTGTGTAAATTCATAAATTATTGTTGTTCATGTATGACTGTTGATCCGGTATTTGTCAAAACCAGAAATAATTTTACACAGTTTAACACGTGACATTTCAGTTCATTTTGAGTTCACGCGTTTGAGCATGTTTGTCAGCGGGGAAATCCTAAATTCAAATGATTCTTCACTGTCGATTTTTATTATTTATTAAACGCCCATCCCTATTTTTTGGCAATTTTCCATGTTCAGGACCCTGGGCTCTTACCCGGATAAATACGGTATAAGTTTGAGAGTCTCTCTGTTGTATATATGGTCAGCTAGTTTCATAATAATGTCTGTATCTCAACCTAAAAATAAACATGTGAATATGTATTGTTCTTTGATGAATTTTTGATTTTACAAAAGAATGATTTTCCCTCAGTGTCATATTTCTGACAAGTCAATAAAAAGTGTTCCTCATCTTGAATTAAAATTTTCATTACATCTTAGGCATATTCTGTTCTTTACTAGAGTTTATAGTTGTGTGTATCTACCTTTTTCTATTTCCAGATTCCAGGTTTCCGATTCTGAATATTTTATCTATTTTTGTTTCTCATAGTCTAGCTTATTGAAATTGCACGCGTTATCAGATAATCAGCTAACTTTTTTCGTTTGTAGTAATATCATTACATAAATTCACATATTTACCTTCCAAATAGACTTAAAATGTTAATGACTTGACTTTCGTCGTCTGTCGTCGTTCGTGTCAATGTTTTACTTTTTCGACTTCTTCTTGAAAACTACAAGCCTGAATGCTTTGATACTTGGTGTATATGTACCTTGGGTAGACCTCTCTTAGATTTGTTTATATCATGATGATATCTTCAATTCTCTAATTTTGGTGAATTTTTTTGTCATTTTGGGTAAAAAGTAATATTTTCGACTTCTTGTTAAAAACCGAAAGTCCAATTGCTTTGATATTACATATACCCCCCCAGTAAGTACTACATGTGAGCCTC